TAAACTTAATTTACTCGAAATGAATGTCACATATAATTTAAAATAATAATTAAAATTCATTCAACGGTTTAACACATATTATTGAACACAAAATGTAGAGCAGAGGCAGAGTTCCAGAAAATCTAACATATAGTGTGAAAGACATATAAAGGCTACAGAATATCCTTGAATTTGTCACTGACTTCAACGCAAACTTTATTATTATTTTCATTATGAATGTAATTTTGTTCTTTAATTGACGTTATACTAAACATGGTACGATTTGTTATACATGTACTAAATATACTGTGAAATATAGTTAATCGATAATTAAAATAAAATAATAAAGCAATTTATATTAACGTCGGCTCAAAAGAAATGATTAGTTATTTATAGCAAAGAGTAATTAAAATTAATTCATTGCACAGAAAAAATGATTATAAATATTTGTTAATAATTAAATTATTTATAATATAGTGTATATTGGAAAGGAAAATATAACCCAATTATTGGACAATTTTTACATTGAATGAATTATGTAATCAATTATGTCCTTACATAATGTTTTGTTAGGAATTTTCTAATAACTTATTATTATTACTAATAAACAACAAACAAATCAATCATTCATTGTTCATAAAGTCAATGGAAAACAATAAAGGAAATAAAATTCAATGAAAATACCCGTAGAAAATGGTATTAAAGCATCAATTTTGATCACTTCCTTTCCATCATCGGTGAGAAATCGATTTGGATTAAAGATTTGCGGATTAACCCATACCTTAGGGTCGTTATGAACGGCCCATATATTTGCTAATACTCTCGTATTTTTTGGTATAAAATTCCCTAAAATTGACGAATTTTCTACAGAACTGTTAATAATTAAAAATTGAAATGAGTTTATAAACAATTATGATAGTTTATTAACTATCAATTTATTTATGATGATTAATTATTAGCTTACCTTCTCATTAAATTTAATGGTAGAAGTGTTTTGAAACGAAAACTTTCATTAATAAATGCCTGCGTAAACGGCATATCAAATATGTCAGCCCAAGTGGGGCTCCGGTCTCTACCGATCACACCATCGATCTCTTCTTGAAGTCTCTTTTGATGATCTTTATGTTTGACAACCAATAATAGGGCCCATTCTANTAGAAGTGTTTTGAAACGAAAACTTTCATTAATAAATGCCTGCGTAAACGGCATATCAAATATGTCAGCCCAAGTGGGGCTCCGGTCTCTACCGATCACACCATCGATCTCTTCTTGAAGTCTCTTTTGATGATCTTTATGTTTGACAACCAATAATAGGGCCCATTCTATGGCTGTCGTCACAGTATCGCTTCCGGCCTCGAAGAATGCCCTGCAATTTGCCTGTAATTTCTTAACTAAGAAAATATAAATTACATGAAAGCACTTTCATGTTTGGATTAACTGACAATTAAAGTGAGTGTTGGGATCCTTTTCCTGTCTTATTTGCATTTCGTGTAGATATCCTTCAATATAATCGCGTCTATTGTTTGGATCCAATGACTTCTTGTGGGCCTCCACTTCCTTACTGTTTAAGTGAGACTTTTATTTAATATAAAATGTAATCAAATAATAAGTTTACGGGAAATAAAATTAAAAAATTCGTACTTAAATATATCAAAAACGACATCAAACTGGGCTTTATTGCCATAAGAGCCGAGTCTGAACACTAGTTTAGCGAACCAAAGCGGAGCCATTGCCAGCACTCCTATCACCGAAAACACAGACATATCTTCAACGAGTTTGTCTAAAGCCCGTCGTTTCGGGTCCTCGTAGTCGTATCGGTGGCCAAACACCAGATGACACATATTGTTTGAAGTGCTCGGAATGAGAAGTTTGTGTATATTGATTGGCCGGCCCTCAAACGTGTCTACTCTTTGCACAAAATATGAGATCTCATTGACAATCCTATTCTCCATCCCTCCCATCCCTTCCCTCCCAAACCCTAATTCCCGGAGCGTTTGCAGAGCGAAGCGCCGCTGATCTCTCCATACGGGGCCGCTATCGTCACTAAAACCTATTGTATTAAATGTATATTAGTTTATGTTTAAAGTGTCTCTAATGTTTAGAGTGTAACAATTAAATACTCATTTCATTGATAATAGCAAACGGAGTGTTATGTGGTCGGCCTAAGAAGGCATCCTTATGGAGGGCATCTCTCACAGCCTCCCAATCGTTAAGAATCACTACGTTATGGATTCCTAATTGCAATCTTTCATTTCAATTCAAATTAAAAATAAAATTATTGTATAAAAAGT